TATTTGGCGAGTGCTCTATGAACTAGCTATTTGTAGGAGCTTCCTGAGAGCCAGGAGACTGTCCCATGCTCATAGGAACTCTTGTGACCTGAGGGGGTGTGTGTATAATCCTTTTATCCTCTGTTTTTCTCTGCTTGCTGGGCTGGTAGCATTCCCAGGGCCCTCTTTGTTTTTTTTCAGCTGGCCTTGGCCATGGACTGCGTCCTGCTGATGTCTTACCTCTGCCGTTTCTCCGTCAACCCCATCTCCAGTGGGCTCTCCCCCCACGCTGTGGCCAGGGAAGCTCTCTGTACTAACCTGTATGTCTGTTCCCCTGGTTTCCAGAAAGTTCTTGCTCTGTTGCTTGGGATATCCTGCGTGTTCGGGGAGGCATGGGCAGCCTCTCCAAGCATTTTCCTTCTCTGACCTTGGCGGCAGTTTGGCAGCTCTTTCCCCTGGTTTGTGGTTTGGAGTTGCAGATGTGTTCAGGGATGGAGTTGGTACCTGTGTGTGTGTCCTTATTGCATTTGGGTACATTCCAAGAGGAAGTCTTGAAGCCAGGATACAACGACAGGCCAACTCTAGCTTTTTCATGTTTTCTCTGCCAGTTAAAAATTTTATTTCTTGTTGTAGTTCCTGTTTCATATAGCCAAAGAGTAAAGTCATTTCACGCACAGTTTTTTGCTTTTCGGTCTGGAATGATCATGTTAGTAATAACGTATCACAAGGAAAGAAGTGTTCATTTGCTTTGCTTTGACCATTCCTTAAGGAATTCAGAAGTCTGAGGTGGTTATGGAGGTAAAGTCCAAATACAGCCTGGATGGATCTATATAAACAGGAGGCTTTCCAGGAGCTGTTAGACCTGTTCACCTAGAAGGCTGTGTTGTGTTACTGGACTCACTGATTCTGATAGCAAGCATCAACATGGTCACCCATTTATGACTTGCCAGTGTTCCTCGGATGCTCAGCTCAAACCTCTTGGCTGGATTTATATTTGAATTGAGCAGTACTTTCCATGTACAGCAATAGTCCGCATGCAACTAGGAAAACAAAGCAGGACTACATAGTTGAAATGTCAGTAACCAGAGGTAGAAATAATACGGGCGTGAGGTCATTTGGAGACTGAAGAAAAAGGAATTTAAGGCACTAAATATCTCTTAATAAACTAGCTCACTTTAATTCTTCTGTACCAAGGGGCTAAAAAGGACAATACATATTCATCTGGAGATCTTGGACCTGAGGGGGAGAGAGGGTTTAGTTTAGGAGATGAGGGGCCTTGCCCTTTGCTCAGGCAGGACAAGGAGAAAGTGCTTTTGTAGGGAGGGACCCTAATACCTTTGAGGTGGGGTTGACGTGGGGGACTAGGCCCCTTCCTCCCTGGCTGGGCATCTGAGCAGCATCTCCCTGACTCGGCGGGCGGTGTGTGTGGGTGTGGGTGTGTGTGGCGGGTGGTGTGTGTGTGTGCGCAGCATGAATGACTGAAGGAGGGAGGTCAGGAAGAGGAAGGCAGGGGATGCTTTGAGAGGCAGGGAGGGATCAAGACTAAAGTAGGAAAATAGTGCAGAGAGTTGGCTGGGGATGGGGATGGCAAACTGAGCTGCTGTCAGTTTTCTCTGGAGCTTGTGTTTATTTTTAATCATGAGACACCAAACAGAAAACCTACAGGGAAATAGTTTTGCCTAGTTTGTGAAGATTGTCTTAAACACAACTGATCTCATAACTAATCAGATGTATACACCCACATCTGATTCACTGAGCAAGCAGACGACCCGTTTCCACTTGCTGTAAGGCCCTGTGCTTGGCATCATAGATGAGCTTGGTCCAGTCACAGCTCTCAAGACGAACAGTGAATTAAGCAGAGCACAGATCACACAACAAACAGATTAGAATTAGGTTCTTAAAGCTTATTGGGGGCGGAAATTAAAAAGCTTCCAGACCGATCTATGAAATCTTAGGTGGGCATTCAAAAAAGGAGCAGCTCTCAGAAAGGCTGGTCCATTGCCTTGCCACAGAACCCAACCCTGAAGGATTGTATAGGAATGAATAATACTCTCTAAAGGGCTTTGGTGGAGTTTGTGGAGAAATACGTAGAAAGTGGTGTTTCTGAGGTGGTCATCAGACCCTTAATGTGTCCAGTCAAAGGATGCATCTTTTCAGGCTAGGGTGGTTTGAGTCAACAACCAGGTGGTTGAGGCGACTGCATAGTTTCCGATCTGCTGGCTTGTGGGCCAGCCTTTGGCATCACAGCAAGAGTGCTGAGAGGCACCGGGGAGGGGCTGCCATAGGGAATTTTGACAGAAACTTCTGGGAGCCCAACTCTTGAGGAGAAGGACAAGCCAGGAGTTGGGTGAGAAGAACCTACCAGATGGGATTTACGAACTGGATGGTTTTTCCTGAACAAAGTTGCTGAAGGGTGACGTGATTTCAAATGTATAAGACACGGCACTTGGCTCCGTACCTCATGCCACAGGTGACCCCTTGGTGCCCTTTCTGTGGCTTTCTGTCATTCAGCGCCCTGGGTTCTTTCTGTGCCTCTCTCTCGTCTTCCGCAAGGACCCTGGTGTGACTTTGCTAGGGTGGCCGTGAACAAAACACCACAGGTTGGGGGCGGGGATGCAGCAACAGCAGTGTTTCCTCACAGTTCTGGAGGCTGGAAGTCCAGACCACGGTGTCGGCAGGGCTGGTTTCTCCTGAGGGCGCTCTCCTGGGCTGGCAGATGGCAGCCCTCTCCTAGTTTCCTCACGAGGTCGCCCCTCAGCTCCCGCGTCCCTACTGTCTGTGGGTCCAGCTTTCTCCTCATAAGGACACTAGTCAGACTGGATTACGGCTCATCTTAATGGCCTTATTTTAACCCAATCACCTCTTTTAAGACCCTTTCTCCAAATACAGTTACACTCTGAGATACTGGGGGGTGAGGACTTCAATATAAAAATTTGGGGGGGGTGGAGGGGCACCTGGGTGGCTCAGTTGGTTGATCGTCTGCCTTCAGCTCAGGTCATGATCTCGGAGTCCTGGGATCGAGCCCCGCATGGGGCTCCCTGCTCAGCAGGGAGTCTCTGTCTCCATCTCCTCCCCCACCCCCAACTTGTGCTCGCTCTCAAATCCTTAAATTTTTTTGTGGCGGAACAATATTCAGCCTATGACCACCCTCTTGACTGGGCACAGTGGTTCTTTTTGCTTTCTTCTCCCCCGCCCCCCAACCATTTGCTTTCATTATGGCTTTTGCTTGTACAGCAGGAGGGTCTCTGAACCCCCAGCCCAGATCCAGCTCCAGCTTCCCCTCAGGCCCCTGGAGGTCACCAGTCAAACTCACACCTTCCCTCCCATGCTCTCCCTTCTGCCTGGATATAAAACTTACTGGTTATTGCTATACTTTTATATCCTCCGCCTTGGTAGCTTGCTGTTAACAGTGTTGGGTTAATTTTTCCATGACAGTGGGTTTTACGGCCTCATGTTTTCCTTTCTAGCCCTACTGGCCATGTCATCCCCTTAGGCACGGATTGTCACAATAGCTCTGTCACTGGATCCGCCACAGCCCACGCCATCCGTCTTTCTCCAGCCTGTAGGGTAGGTCCTCCTTGGATGGATTTTCCTAAGATTCTGCTTTTCGTGTGTCCTCAGTCACCCAGCAGCTCCCTGCTGCCTGCAGGGAAGGACCAGACTTCTCAGCCAGGGGCTTGAGGTCCTCCATTGTTTGGTTCCAGCCTGTTTTCCAAGCCCATCTTCCCCATTAATCCCTACTCTTCTCTCTGCGTGCCACCCTGTTTCGGTCCCATAGCTTTGTGGGAGCCCTTCCCCTTCTCCTCCGTGCCTTCTCCTGTGTGTGTGTCTCCTTGCAAATATTACCTGACATTAGAGAAACGATTGAGGACCGTTCCTACCCTCTCCGTGATGGAAGCGCCCCCCCCCCCTCCCCGCCCTGCCATGGTGCTCTGTGACCCTTCATATCCAGATAGGGCCTGCCATCAAGCAGACATTATTGAAATCTCTGTGCCCTGCACTATGTCTAGCTAGGTGCTGAGATCCAAAGATACCCAAGATTTGATTCCTGCTTTATAGATCATCATGAGGTCATGGGGTCCTGGGGGATGTAATCGGGCAGATGCACATCGGCCGGACCACCATGTTGACGCAGGATCAGGGTTGTGGGCACAGAGGGGGCGCCTGAGTCCTGCCCAGGTGTCGGGGATGTGATCCTGGAACGGAGTTCAGAAGCCAGGGTAGAAGTTTCCAGGTGGAGAAGGAGTGCAAAGCATTCAGCCAGTGAGAGCCATGCACAGAGACCTGGATCAGGACAGAGGGTAGGGGGAGGGTGCGGCGTGGAGGGAGAAGAGGGGGCTATTTGTAGATTTTGTTTTCAGGGAAATAACGTTGTTGATACTATATGTATAATGGTTTCTTGGGAAAGGGGGAACAATGGGGGGGTTGGTTGGCAGGAGAGGAATGCATTAGAAGGTAATTGTGATAGAAACGAGCAGAAGAAATGGGGAGGAAAGACCCTACCTTATGTTGCCTGTGTTTGTGGGAGTACGTGTTTGCCTTCCTCAACAAATTATGAACTCAAGAGCCGCGATGTGTGCTTATCTTTTTATCTTTATAATACCCACGTTACTTGGTATGTTAGCGTGTCCATAGAAGCTAATTAACAGATGCTAATGGTATGGCTTAGGCATTGTTTATCATCTTCTGTCCAGACTCAAAAAGTTGTGCCCAGCTCACTGTACACACTGAATAATGGTTGAACACAACTGAATTCATAGTATGAATATAGTATGACGGTAAAACTAGGAAAGAAAATGTTAAAATATGCATAACTGTTTCCATGTGTTGGTTGAAGATGACCTGATTTTTCGTGAAGGCCCCAAAGCCTCCCCACACGTGAGTCCTGTGCGGGGGACCGAGAGCCCACTGAGCTGTGGATCCTCGGATTCAAGGAAGGCTCAGAGAGCACAGATGTCCCTTAGGTGCTTGAAATGAGTCGCCTCTTCTGATGTATTTTTCTTTCTCAATGCTTTCTGCAGATACATAGTCTGCTTTCACCATGGGAGAAATAGAGCAGAGGCCAAGTCCAGGATCGCGACTGGGGGCCCCGGAGAATTCGGGGATCAGCACCTTGGAACATGGACAGAAGCCGCCCCCAACACCTTCTGGGAAGCTCATGTCCATCAAAATCCAGATGCTGGATGACACGCAGGAGGCGTTTGAAGTTCCAGTAAGTTGGGGTAGATCTCTGAACTCAAATGTGTGGGCAGCCTTCAGCACGGGGAGGTTCCTCTCATCCCCATTTTCGGTGATGGGAGATGGTAGGAGGAGTGTCCACACCTCCCTCTCCACCCCCAGCAGGCTCCTCTGAGCCATTCTGGTTCTGAGCTGTCCCAATATTTTGATTCATGCGTGCACTGCCTAGATAGTAGCCTCAGGGGGCTGATCACTTGAGTTACACAGCCTTTCCTACTCAAATATGTATGTGTCTGCATGTGCACGTATGGTATGTGTATATTTGAACTGGATGCAGTTGTGGTCTTGCGGACGCATCTCTCATTTGCTCACTACAGGTATTTCTCTCATGGTGGTGCGTGCATGTGCGTGTGCCGCTTCTCTGGGCTACGGGCAAGAAAAATCCTGAGAAAACCATCAGAGACCCGCGTGCATGTTTTCATGTCAGGAGAGACGTGGGCGACTGTGTTCGAGGGTGGGAAGTAGGGGGTGTAGAAGAACCCTGAACTAGGTCCACGGTGTAACAGCCCCAGAATTAGAATCCCCCATCCCAGGGACCCGGCGATGAGATGGGGGTGTCTGGGAGCTAGGCAGAGAGGGAGGAATCAGCAGCCTTGGCCTCTCATCTGTGGGAGTCCCGTACCCTGGCTCTCACCCCCTGCACCCCCATGGTTCTATTTTTCCTCCAAGCCCCAGCCTCCTCCTCCCCTCCAGCCTCCCCCCCGCCCCCCCCGCCCTGCCTCGGGCTTGGACTGCACTTTCCTCCAGAATTCTTGTCCCTTACATGGATTGGGCTCCGTAGACCTTGTTTGTAGCACGCTTTGGATTTAGTTTTCTGTGTCTGTCTCAGGTACTGTACACCACATCTGCCATTGTTGGCAGAGAAGAAAAGAACTCCTGAATTCTCAACAGCCGACCTGAACACAAAACTTTGGGAACATAACCTGTTTTTAAAGTGGAGACGATACGTCTTTTATTCCTGTTGGCTAGAGGGACTGTGGGATTTAAGAGTTGACATAAACATCTGTAACCTGTCATTTAATCACTTATGCAACATGATTCACTAAATCATATTCATCTTAATATTGTTCCGAGAGTGTGAATTACCATTAAGCGTCTCAGGGAAAGATAAGCCTCAGAATAGCTATGCTTAAAACTGCCGCTTTATTGTACATTTATTTTCTTGTTGTGGAATGCATGTCTTTCAGGGACTTGGGAACGTCTCTATTCTGGTGAACAAAGGCATTGCTAACCTGCTGAGACTAACAAATGAGTTGCACCTGCCAGCCTGTTAGAATTAGGCCTTCTGGAGCAGGTGCCCCCTCCCCCTTTCCAGTGCCTTCCCTTCATTGCCAGACTGGTTTGGTGAGGTATTTAGTTTCAGGGTTTCCTATTGCTACCGTGCTAAGGGCCTCTGAGCCCAAGTCTCTAGCTACACATTGTATTAAATGGTACTCCCGTGTGTGGTTTGGACTGAGGAGTGATCAAATATTGCTGTTGGGTGCATGAACCACAGGGAGGGTTGTACGGTATTCAACTGCATTTCTTCAGTTTCCCTAAACCAAAGAATGTCACTAACCCCTAGGAACTGTATAGGATCTCCCTAAGGAGTAGGAATGGAAGTAAGTTTTCATCTTTTAAAATTATTTTACTTGATAATTGCTGGTGTCTGTGCTTTGCATTTACAACCCCTCTGTCTGGAAGGATCTTTCCTCCTTTCCTCCCGGATAAACTCCTGTACACCCTTAAGGACCCTATCAGTTTTACCCAGACGCTAACTTTTGAGACAGTGGTTAGGGCTCTTTCTTCCCTCCCTCAGACGACTTTGCTTATAATGGATCTGGACTGCTTGGGTTCACATTCCAGCCTTTTTTACTGACTCCTTGATCACCTTGGACAAGGTACCTCTTTTTGTATCTCTGCTTTCTCCATTGTAAAATGAGGCTGAAAGTAAACCCAACCTCCTATGATAATAAAGTTGTTCCAAACACTATTTATACCAACTCGGCACATACTGAGCACTTAATACAAGTATGATGAGTGGTGCCTTTGCCGCTTCACTGGGCAGGGCCCTTGCCTTGGTGTCTCATTCCCAGCACCTAGCTTGGTGCCTGGCATGTAGTAGGTGCTCATTAAAATGTTTGCTGACTGCATGCGAGAATGAGTTCATCTTACAAGTAGAATTTAATGTCCTTTTTTCACACGTCTCATCCATTCATATTTTATTTTGATTTTTTTTCTAGTTTGGCCAGAACCAGTGGGTAACAGATGTCTTCTGTAACTGCCTGTAGAAAGGCAGATGTCAGCATTTTTATTGACAGAGCTGATTCTAAATTGCTACCTTGTGCTCTTTAAGAAGAGGACCAGCCACGCCTTTGTGCATCTGGAAGGCATCAGGCTGGCCACGGTGACTCAGTCTTAGCACTCAGGATGGGAGCACGGTGACGCAGGATTGCAAGAGCCCCAGCCGCCCGTAGCTGCTGGGAAACCTCGCTCCACAGTTTTTGCTGTGAATTCACAAGGCCGGGGGTCTGACCCTGGAAGGGTCTACCTTGCCCACACGTGACTGCTCCTTGGATTGGGCGCCTTGAGAGAATGAATGCTCCCATTTGCCGCACAGATGAGTAGGGCACGTGGCCAAAAGTTCTCGCAGTTTCCCCTTGCGAACATTCTTCTCTGAACCCCGTATTTTCTTGGGGATTGAATTTCCTGGGCTTTTTCTCATTGGTTTTGTTTTAGTGTAGAAGGCAGGCGGAGTCCTCGTTTAAAGTACAAATTCCCTAAACCCTTCCTAGCACAGATAACCAACTGGTAGTTTGCACAGTTGTTGCTCTTGTTATTCAGAACCTTTCTGAAAAAGTTACTTGAACCTTTTGAAAAGCATCCGTGGGGAGCACCAGTTTCTTCTGCTCTGTAGTTCCCGTCAGCCACCTTTGCTCTTCAACTTGGATGGTCAGCTTAGGTATTTCCTCTGCAGAGTGGAAAGTTCAAGCACAATATTGATAGTAAATTCTTACATGGCGTTGTATCATCTTTATGTGGAAAATGCTGTGCAAATAAGCCTCACCTGGTGGTTTCTGATCTGCAACTTTTTCTTCCAACTGGAGGTTCTAAAATGAAGTGCCTCATGTGGATCCGAAAGGGTTAATGACACGTCTCCCTGCCCCTCACCCCAGCCGGGGCCATCCCCCTCTCAAGATCTCTGAGAAGGTTTTATGTGTCCTGGCCTCCTGACCCTGCTGGTAAACAAACACTGTTCCTACTGACGTTGGTCGCATGAAACAGATGGTTTCTCCTCCGAGTGTTTATTCAGTTTGTGTTTTCATTAGCAAGGTCGCTCTAGGAAGAGTTGAGAAGATCAGGGGATATAAAAAGGAGCCATTTCCTTTGCTGCTTTGGAGCAGCCCTGGTTTAAAAAAAAAAAACAAAACAACACGTGGGAAAGACACTCCCGGGACCAGAAGACACCTGGTCGGTGTTGAGTTGGCAGGAGCGGCTGGGTGCAGGCAGGCAGGCGGGCAGTGGGGGGAGTCTCCCAGAAGCGGTACTCAGAGCTGTGGCAGAAGGAATTCGGTGTCAACCATAGCCATCCCGGGGTCCCATCATTGTGCTTTCTGTGTATTTGTATTTGTCCTGTCCTCACTTCCCTTGGAAGCCTGTATAGATCCCAGGTGCCTGAGGATAAAGCGGATTTGTGAGCCTGGGGAGGCTGGGGAAATGGTGAGCCTCCCCCAAGGGCTAGACCGCCGAGCTGCTGGGGCTACCGTGTCCTAATTCTCCACCACTGTCCTTGGTGGTTCCCCTTTTGTGTTAGCATCTCATGGAGACCTGCTCTTGTTGCCATGCTTGGTTGGGGCTCTAGTGTGTAAGATGTGAGCTCTGGAGGGCAGGGCCTCGTGTGTTTATCATCGGGTCCTACACTTGCAGGTGCCTGGACCCAGCAGACACCTGATGTGTGTGCCCGACTGCCCACACCTACATTCAGTCCTCTGACTTGCGAACTGGAGAGGTGGTTAGTGCTGCTTTCTTGTTAGGGTGAGGGTGCCCATGGGAAGAGCTTTTAGTCCCTTCCCCCATTTTTGCACAGCATTAAGATAGGTCTGGGTTTGGAGCCCAGCATGCACGACACCCAATACCGTCCCCCCTTCCCTGCACTTAGCACCATCTCTCCTGTGCTCCCAAGGGGAAGGTCACCACATTTCCCCTCTGAGCAGTTCTTTCCCCCTTGTAAACACCACCCAGCTTCACTTCCAGCACATTTACCTCTGACCCACCAACCGTCCAAGGGCCCCCGTGGCTCTTGCTGGGGGCCCTGCTCTTTCTCCTTAACAGTGCTTGTTGTCTGCACCTCTAATTAGACTTTGAACCACGGGCTCTAATCTTCCTTTCTGCTTAATTCCTTTATGACCCTGCTTGAGACTCAGTTTACTTATCTGCAAAATGGTTTGGTCTAGATGATATTAGAGGCTTTTTTCCTCCCTTTTTTGGAAGCTGGGACTCTGCATTGACATCCTTGTTGATGGATTGTTTTACTTTTCAGGACGAGTATTTGTTAATTGCCTGGGCAGATGGGTAAGCTCTTTGAGAAAAGGAACTTCTTTTTAAAAACAGACAAGGGTACCTGGGTGGCTCAGTCGTTAAGCGTCTGCCTTCCGGGGGTCTTGGTCTGATCCCGGGGTCTTGGGATCAAGCCCCACATCGGGCTCCCTGCTCAGCGGGAAGCCTGCTTCTCCCTCTCCCACTCGCCCTGCTTGTGTTCCCTCTGTCTCCCTGTGTCAAATAAAATTTTGTAAAGAATAAATAAAACAAAAACCAAAAAAACCCACCCCAAAACACAAAAACAAAACTCCCCCCAAAAAACAAAAAAAAAACCAAACGTGATTGGACACAGAAGTTACTGTTACCTAGTAGGTTCTAAAGAAGAAAAAGTGGGGAGGGTGAACAAGTGTGCTGTGATTTATATATAATGTTATTTGTGGAGCATCAGGAAATGTC